AAGAGGAGCAGCAGCAGCGGGGCGCCTGGCCGCCAAGGGCAGGACAGCAGCAGGGGGGTGACAGGGAGCTGAAGCGCCCCGAGGAGCAGCTCGGAGGCGGCTGCGTGGAGCAGGAGGCCCCCGAGATGGCCGCGTTTGAGGGGGAGGCCTTGACCGACGAGGAGGGCACGGACTCCGAAGCAGAGCAAGAGCTGCGCCTCTCGGGCCGTCCGGCCTGTGCTAATAAACTAATAGACTATATTATCGGGGGAGCCTTCAGCGGGGAGGAGAGCGCGGATGATGAAGACTGGGAGGATGATGACGACGGGTTCGACAGCGAAGGGCTCCTCTCCGATTCGGATGCTGGTAGCCAACATGAGGAACGATTGCATCTCTGGAATTCCTTCTACAGCCTGGATCCTTATAACCCTCAGAACTTCACGGCTACCATTCGGACAGCTTCCAGTGAGCCGGGAAGGGATGTGCTCTGTGGGTCGGATGTAGAAGAGGAGGAGGAGGAGGAAGAGGAGGATTCATGGGCAGAAGAATCTTCAGGCTCTCCTGATCCTAGTTGTGAAGACGATGATGAATGGGAGTGTAGTAGTGTGGATGAGGCAGAAAATTTGAAACTTTGGAATTCGTTCTGTACCTCAGATGATCCATATAATCCTTTCAATTTCAAAGCCTCCTTCCAAACGGCAGCAAAACCAGGGAAACCGGGTTTAAAAGGGGCAGAGAGGCCGAGCCTGGTCGCTTCTGAGTGCAGCCTCTTAACAGTGTGTACGGTGCAGCTGGAAACGCAGCCCTGCGGCATCGCAGACCCTGGGCAGCAGGGCCTGCCTTCTGCTGCGAAATGTGGACGTTCCAAGAGGAAAAAGGTACTCTCAGTTCTCACGTTTTTGCGTTTGGGGAAAGCTTTAAAAAACAAAGGCGACTTGTGCCAAGTGGGATGTGAGCAGTGAGGTCGTTTGTGCAGGGTCCCAGCAGCAGGGGCAGGCGGGTCGTGCCCACATGAGCTTATGCTCGAGGTATTTGGCTGAACTCAGCATGCAGCATCTTTTTTATGTGATGGCAGACTTTGTAATTCAGTGGCATGAACCAGAAGACTTAATTTCTCTCAATTTTCGTTTTTAAATTGTATATCTCTCTCCTATATTTATCTGTTATAATATAGTTTTCCTCGCCTGAGAAACAAATGAGAACTATGCGAGCTACATTTTATTTTCATATGTAAAGAATCCTTTGAGTTATGAATCATGCTGATAAAACCCTGCAGGGCTTCTCTGTTACGTAGTACACTTGAGACTTTAAACGTTTAATTGTAAATACGTAGACCTCTAACAGGCCAGCCTAAGTGCTTGACTGCAACCATGTGGCTTTTGGGGACGGGAAGAACCGTTGTGGGTTAACACACATTGCAGTTAGTCATTACAGCTCTATGTATGTGCTCCTATTTCTGGTTAGGTGGTTGCTCTTTGCAATCCAAGATTGAACGATTTAACAGACAAGCTACTGTACTTCCCTCTACCTGGAAAGTACCCCAGGTTGAACTGACTTTGTGAGAGGAATTTGATCCCTTAGAACATCTATCTGAAATGCTGTAACCCCGCTGATAATCTCTGCTCTAAGCTCCTGTTTCCCTGGGTTCAAGTGTTGTGGGACATGTGGACTACTTATTTGCAGTAGTATTTTTTTGGGCCATCCTACTTTCAAACCAGTGTCCCTGTAGCTGTGTGATCTTTCCAGTGGTGCCACAGAAGAATCGTGCTCTAGATGCAATATTTAGCCTGATGTTACAAGATCCAGTAATTGCACTCAAGGGCATCTTAGCCTGATGTAAAAAGAATGAAAGGTAGCAAGTCTAGGGGGACAGGCTGATGTAACAGCCCCGTGTGCTCTGAAAGCAGATTCTTAATTAGGCCTGTCAGCAAATCTGAGCAAAGATGCTGGGCGAGGATTGAGGTTTTCCAAAGAAATCACCAGGTCACCCATCCCGGTCAAGGCTCTTTCCTGTATGTCCCCCTGCAATCGAGCAGCAGCGTTCTTGTTTCTAAAGTGTTAAAACCTGGGAGTGTTTTGTTTCACTTGGGAGCTAGTGAGTGTAATAACACTGCTCAAGGAGCATAGGGGGTCTGCTGAGCCACAGAATTGAATTGAATTAAAAGCAAAACTTGTAATTACAACTTGTCTGATTTCAAAAATAACTTTTGGATATTATCCCTTTCAGAGGATTAGTATTCTTTTAAAGCTTGCCATGTGTAACTGAGTTAAGTTTACCAGGGAGGCAATGAGCTTGTGTTCTTTCACATTTCTCAGAAAACCCGTACACGAGTTCTCTGGAGTTTCATCTCAGCTTTAAACAGGCTGATTTGTTCCAGTCACGTAGGAATGAGTGTTGCTTCCTTCAATGTGACATCCCTCTCCTGGTACCAAAGTGCAGGCTGACTCACCCAATTACTCATTCTCTGCTACAATGGTTATTTTTTTTTTAAAAGATGCTTCAGTAATTAGACCTTGATAGGTAACATATTTTTAGCTTTAAGTCAGTGTTCTGGCTGATCCTAATGAGTAATCTTGATTACTGGTGTCTGCGTAAGGCAGGGGGGGTCTGTTATTTCACACTTGGGTCTGGAACATGGTGTGTCCCTCTGTTTAACAAGGCCTCTTTTTAAGCATTAGAAATAATTGTATGAGACAGAAGACTGAGGTTTTCTTGCATAATTTGCTTAATTCTTCAATCCTTGCCTTTTCCAGGTAACCTTCCTTGAAAAAGTTACCGAGTATTATATAAGCAGCGAGGAGGATCGTAAAGGGCCCTGGGAAGAACTTGCACGAGACGGATGCAGGTTCCAGAAACGTATCCAAGAAACAGAAGATGCCATAGGATACTGCTTAACCATAGAGCATAGACAAAAAGTATTTAATAGACTCCAAGAAACCTACAAAAGGCTCGACCTCGTCTAGCACCTTAAAAGCTGTGGTAGTTGTATGACCCTAAGCACTCATGAACACCTTCAAAACAACGTGTGGCAGCTGCCTGTGGTTTGAAACTGGGGGGGAGAGTGGGATTTTAACACTTTGTCCCAATCGAATATTCAGCCAATGTGTGTCCCATTTTTGGTATCTAAACAAAACCTTTTGAGTATCATCAAGGGGAAAGCGGGATATAATTGCATTCCTTTTAAGTAGCACTTGAGAACTGGACTGCTGTAGGTTTAAGTTCATTCCAAAAATGCCTTGTCTGCCGTATTTGGAGAAGTGGTGGCTATTAAGTTGGAATTATGCACTTTGAAAAAGCAAACCTATTTTGAAGGAAATATTTATGGGGCTCAAAACCCGGTTATTGCAGTTTTGATTTAAAGTTTGAAAATGTGTGCTACGTTTTTGTGTTTGTTTTCTTTAACTTGTTAAAAAGACACCTTGAATTTTGCATCCCTTAATGTTAAATTTATTGTGCAAAGGAGGTACTACTTTTCCCTTCCTTTTAAGATCTTAATTTTGCATGTAATTGGTGTTCAGGTGTTCATGGAGCATAAACTGATGTCTTGATATTTCAGTCTAGAACACTGGGGGTTTCAGGTGAACTCTGGTGCATTATGAGCCGTTTGGTTTGTTCTTATTTAAATGATTTTTTTGCCTAGTACTGCTCCAGAGGGTGTTGGCTGCTTTTGCACCAAGGCTGTTGCTTTCACAACACTGAGAGGCATCGTCCTGATCAGTAATTTAAACTTCAAGGTGTGTGTGAAACTATGGGTGGTAATCTGAGTTTAGGTGTAGCCCCACACAGGGAACTAAACCTTAAACCTTAGTTTTTTAGTTACTCTTAAAGTAGCTTTGCCGTAATTGACTCTGTTTTTTGAAAGTGGATTCAAGAGGAGGATTTTTCATATTTTTGGTATCCAGTGTACTTGCCCTGGTAATTATAAGGAGAGTTATCTTTGACTTAAGGAAATCTGAAGTTACAAATTCCTGTGTTCTTTACCAAAAGCCAGTATTAATGCTTCATGTGTCTGCGCTCTTGTTCAACTGCTACCAAAATAACCTTCCACATTTCAAGAAGTTGAGAGGTCCTTGGCAGAATGAAAACACTCCCTATTTATGTTCCAAACTTAACATATTTAATAGTGTTTCAGTCAAAATGTGGCTCGTAGGTAAAAATACTTGTTATTGCCTTTGGTAAAATAGGCAAGAGTCAAGCTTACCACCACCAGCTCTGCTGGTGTCTGTGATCTTGGAGAACTCTAAGTACCTGAAGCTGCAGCTTCGGTTACTCCAGGTAGCTCAGTTTACTCGTGTGTATAAGAACCCTTAGAATGATGTGAATAAACCTGCAGGTGCTGCCGTGCTGTTGGCAGCAGCTAACAGGAGACTCCAGCTGGAACTGAACACAGAACACACATACAAACCACACAAAAAGCTGCTGCTTCCAGAAGGGCTTCTGATATCAAAAAAAAAACACCCTTTTCAGCCTACAGTGACTGAGGACCCTGTTCTTGCACCGATGAATAAACCCTGCTAATATTCATAGAAGCGTGTCTGCCTGGTAAGCGTCTTCTCCCCATCCCAATGTTTTCCAAGTGTCAGACTTAAGGTGCTAGCAAACTATTCTCACACTAACTTCATGATAAAGCCACTTAAAAATAAGCAAAAGTTTATTTGTCACCATTTTCCCTAGAACATATCTTAAAATGGTCCCGCAGGTTGCGTAAAGGTGTAAGTGGCTTTGAGTGAGACAGTACAAATAACACTTCTTAAACTTTAAATCAAAACTGTAACTATCAGATTTTATTTTTGTATGATTTAGAGAGAAAGTTAGAAAACCTTCAACATTGGCTTTATACAGATTTTAATTGGTTTGTGTCGCATTTGTTGGGTTTTTATATCTAAAGTTATATTTCTGTATATAAAACTATTCAGAACTAATCTGTAAATTGTAATAAAGATATTTGCAAGATAAGAAGTTTATCGTCTTTCAGGGAAGAGACCGGGGTGTGCTGGGTAACTTTATGAAGCAGCATTCATAAACATACTGCAGCTGGCCAGGTTAAAACATCAAATATTCTTTTTTTTGTCAGATTTTGGGGTAAAGAGCAGCTTGTTGTCACTTAGAAACAGTCTTACCTTTGAACGTCCTTGTGAACCAGTAAACCTGCAGGGTTGTACTGATTAATTCAGCTTTTAAACTAAAATATGGAGCAAATGACACAAAGTGCAATTGCTTGTACTGAAATTAAGCGTTTTGCTGTAGGTCGTGGTTTTAATTGAACCTGGGTGTTGTAGATCTGCTCGAGTTTGCTCGCTGGTTAGTTAGCTGTTCACGTGCGAGTATTAGTGCGGTTCTGAAGGGTTACTGGGTTGTTTCTGAAGTGCTTTTGGGTTTCTGTCCCTAAATAAATTTGAGGTGTTGCCTTGTAAAGAGAAATGACCTCCAGGTGCCAAAGCATCTGGTGTTTAATTACAGAAGAGCTGGGGATGCCTTGTTGCAGTTTGCTGCGTAACCCTGGGTTTTAATGCAGCGAGTTCCTGGGTTCGTCTTAATGAATTAAAGCAAAATGCTTGATAAGGAGCTTGGAAGACGCAGATGTGGCCGTGTGCGGTGAGACTTAATCTTGCACAGGATTAACCAGCATTATTTTTTCACTGTTAAAGTAGGGTCTTGAGGAGGCAGCGCAGCTTGACTGGCTTTTGGATTCAACAACTCTAATTCCCTAAGGAAAATCGTGCTTGGAATAAGGAGGAGGCCCCTGTTTGCTCGTGTCTTGCAGCAGGGCCTCCCTTTGCACTTTCGTCTTTCCTTGGCATCGCTACAACAAGGATTGTCTGGTGCTTGTGCCCGCAGTGATGTCTTGGGTAGCAAATTGCTAGGCTAGATGAAAACCTCCTCTGAACTTTGTAGAACACTTAGCCATGACATTCCCAGGAGTTTAAAACAGACCTCAGTGGTTTTCTAGAAACTCTTCTTCACCCCTTGGCTCTGAAATGTGCCCTATGGAGCGCACGGTGACTAATAAGGCTGCGTTCTCCTGATTCACTGCGATTATATATAGCTGCTGCACAAGATAAAAGCTTTTATGAACTTGGCGGTGCATCAAGGTGCCATCTGGACTGTAGAAATCCTGCTGGGATTTCCTTATTTTGTCGCCACTGAAGTCTGCGGTTGGAGTTTAGTGACAGTTTGTGTTAGAGTAGAATTTGCCTTGCTCTGGTACCTGTATTTTCTCCAGGGGACTTAGGAACTGAATGAAGTTCCTCTCCGTGCGCGTTGCTGACAAACAAGCTCCTATTTTTGTAGTCGCCGCTGACTCCATCCCCTGAAATCCTTCTTGCAGGTTAGCGCTGCCGTAGAACTCGTTTTGTCCCGGAAAAGCAAGTTCCCAAAACAGGCAGAAGGGCCCCGAGTGAGGATGCGACTGCAGCCCCAGGGAAAATCCCCGCTTCCCCCTGCACGGGTGGGATCTGCTGCAACTCCTGTGTAATCCAGGAGCCTCTCCGTGTCTGGCTCCTTACGTCACCGAGTGCGGAAAACTCCCTGCTCACGTGAGGGTGGCAGGGGCTGACGTCTCCTAAAAGCCACTCATTAATCACAAGGGCCTGAATTAGCAGAACCCATTAAGGAGCAGGACCCATTAGGAGCAGAACCCATCTGCTAATGCTCCAGATAAGCGATAAAAACATGGGGTGCTTTGAAGCTCTCCTGGCTGAGCTCCTTTTGTATTCCAGGGGCTGTGCAAAAGGGTGTTTTTCCAAGTACAATTTCCTGCTTAAATGATGGACTTGATTTTTCACTAACCCACCAGGAAAACAGAGCAGCTGGAGGATGAATTTGTGCCACCTCGGTCACAGCTCTGCGTGGTGGCATCTCACGCGCCTATCATGAAGAGAAGATCAATGCTGTAAAGAAGAGCAGATCTACGGCAGCAGAAGGGAAAGATCCTGTGCGTAAAACACTACTTTGATGCCCAGTGCGTTTGCGACAGTTTGTGTAAGGGAATTAGTGTGTTAAATTACCCCGGAGCAGCCACGCATGAGCTTGGTCCTACCCGGGGGAAACACCAGGCAGCTCCTTCCCTTTTTCCCTTTCGCCGCCGGATCTCCCCTTTCCTAGCGAGGCTCGGGCTAACGTCAGGCTCTTTCGGGTTCCTTTTCACCTAAAATAACCTTGGCCGGAGCTGACGTGCGGCCGGACCCCCCGGCAAGGAGGAAACCTGAGCAGATCCGAGCGATTTCGCTTTCGGATGGAGCAGGGGCCTGGTTTTGTGCTGGCCCCTCCGTGTCCCCTGCGGTGACAAAGCTAACGTGAGTGAAGAGTCTTCGGGTGGCTGCAGAGCGCTTGGTTGCCCTGCTCACTGTTAGACGCATTATACAAATTTGCCATAAAAAGGCTGTTAAACATCTGCTGCTCTGGGCTGTGTCCCAGCAGCAGGTGGCCGCGGTGGCCACCGGGGCTC